CTAACCAGAAGGCTGGTGGTTCAAACCCACCAGCCACTCCTTGGAAGGAAGGTTGAGCAATCTACTTCCATAGTGATATTGCCTCAGAAACCCAAGGAAGGGTCACTATGAGTTGGGTCTGACTTGACGACAAACAATAACAACAACAACAGGAGCCTCAAAAAAAAGTGTCCCTGGCCCTTCTTGGACCCCTGAGAGGCTGTGGCTTGGATTTGTGAAACTGTGAACAGGAACCCCTGCTGCCTCCACCCCTCTGCTGCCTCCACACCAGCTCCCCATAGAGAAGGGGGAGCGCAACTTACCTTCTGCCAATCACAGGCGGGGCTGTGCCCCTTGGCCCCGCACCTGGGCAGGGTCCCGAGCAGCAGAAGACTCACAGAACTAGCTGGGGACGCCAGGAGAAGGCCTTCCTGCGAGGCCTCTGAGACTCAGTGAGCCATCCGAGATTCCCACCTGCCCTGCCCCAGATGCTGCTGCTGCTGCTAACAAGGCCCCAGGGAGCTGGCAGGACACCCTGCCTGGCCCCAGGGCTCTAGATGCTGTTTGCTCCCTTCTCACCGGGTGCCTCAGTTCCAGGCTCCTGAGAGACGTTGCCTTTCCCCACCCCCACGCCTCAGGCGCTCACCCCAACAGCTTCCCCAGGATATCACTGTCTTATAGGGCCAATGTGGACCCCACATATACCCAGCCATAAACCAAACGAAACCAGACCCACTGCCAAGTCAATTTCGACACATAGCAACCCTATAGGACAAGAGTAGAGGGTTCCCAAGACTGTGAATCTTTATGGAAGCAGACTGCCTTCCTCAACTTTCTGCCAAGGAGCGGCTAGTGAGTTCAAATCGCCAATCTTTTGATTGTTAGCTGAGGGCTTTAACCACTGTATCACCAGGCCTCACTACCCAGCCATAAAGAAGTGCTAAAAGAAGCTCCAAAGAAATTTGTACCCACCTCCAGCCCCCACCCCAACCCAGGGCAGAACCTGCTTGCAAGTGGCACCTTGCCCTGGGCCCAGGTGGGAGAATTCATTAATCTTCTTAGCAAAGGTTTACAGCTATTTAATTGCTGGAATGAAAAGGTTTCCTGTGAAACCCAACACCCAGCCTTCCCTACAAAGCCAGCATGGAAGGAATCAGGAAGATGGAAACTCCTCATCCCAGCAGGCCTCAGGTAAAGGCAAAAGCCGGGGTCTCTGGAGCTTAGGAGACGGGTTCCCTGGGCAAAGTCTCCCAACCTCCACTCAGGCACTCAGGAGCACACACACACACACACACATGTACATAAAGGATGCACACTCACACCTAGGTCTGCCTCCACATACACAGTACATGTGTACCCCTCAGCATGCAAGCACATGCGTGCCCACCTGCCTCTGGCTCTGCAGGAATCTCCTGTGTAACACACATGTTCATCAACAGCATTCTGTGCACACATACCCTCACACCCACAAGCACTAGCAGGGTTTTTTTTTTTTTTTCAAAAATGTTTAGCATGAGCAGAATCCTTTTGTCAAGTGAAATCTTAAAAGGACACACCAAATGTGCAGACTAAATATGGGTGCTGAAGGAGAGAGAGGAGAGGCCCAGAGCCTGGGGCCTCCCCTGCTCAGCCTTAGGCTCCTTTCTTTGACCCCCCTCCTTTCCAGAGTCCTGGGGCCTGGTTTGGTCATTCTCGGCCCTCCCACCTAACATGGGGTATAGGAAAAGGTATATCTGAGCACACGAAAGGACAAGGGAGAGGGGGCGCTTCCTCAAGGTGAGTTAGGAGGCCTTGGAGGATGGGGGCAACACCCTGCTGACTCTCCCACCTCCCCTCCACTCTCCCCCATGCAGCCCCTCCCCCTCAGCACAGAGCAAATTGATCTTTGGTTTCTGGGGTTTGTGGCTCCCTCTCCTGAGTTTCCCACCTTACCAGCTAGGATGATGGCCCACACCCAGGACTGACCACTCTGGGCCACAGGTGCTCCCCGGGGTCCTAGATGTGATTTGTGCCCTCAGTAGGCAGGGACTGTCTGGGTGTCCAGCAACCCCACAACCCAGTCTCGACTACCCCTAGGTCGGAAGGATGAATGGGAAAGCAGGCAGGAGGACCAGGTGGAGGCGGCCGCAGGAAGAAAAAGGTTTCCCTGGGACCATGGCCCAGGCTGAGGCCCCTCTCCTGGCCCTCTCCAGAGTTCCTGTTGCCAGGGAAAGACTCCTGCTCCCCTCAGCTCTCCCGACATGTGCCCTCCCACAGGGAGCTGAGCAGTCTGACCCCACCCACCAGGGAGCACCAGCGACTCGTGACTCCAGAACCAGGGCCGTACCTAGCTGGCTATGACAACCTCAGGGTCGTACCAGGCAAGGGGCAACTGGCACATTCATTGGCCTACGGCCCCCTGCCCCCTCCCAACTTGGCAGGGGACTGAATGAGCATGGCAGGAAGCAAGGCACTCAACAACCATCATAGTGCTACAGTGCCAGCTGCTGCCAGCTAGGGGTGGTCATGGACCCTTCCCTTCATCTACCAACCAACCACTGAGCGCCTACTATCTGCCCAGCAATCCTGGTATCTAGCCCTCAAAAGATCTGAGACAGGGCTGAGCAAAACCCACTAACCTGCTCTGAAAGTCTTTCACGCTACCCCTTTCTTCAGCCAGGACTGCCAAGCCTGCCCATAGGAGGGCCTTTGCTGGGCTTTCTTGGAGTGAAGAAGAGGCAGTTATGCCAAGTGGAGACCAGAGAATGCTACCTGCCACATACCTGAGGGAGGCCTGGCTGGTTTCAGTAATGGCTGGTACTAGGAGCATCAAGGCCAGGGACCCCCAGCTGCGATGTCAGAGGGCTATGGAGACTTCCATTATGATGTTAGGCCCATGCCCTGAGGGTTCGGCACCCTCAGATCTCCCTGGGGACCTGATGCAGGACTAGGCAGGGACATGTGGATGCAAGCAGTCACTTGAGGCCTGCCCTGGAGTTAGGGTATAGGCGGGGGCCTCTCCCATCTAGGCTACCCTTCTTGGCTTTCCCAGACGGAAGGAGAAAACTGACCCAGCTCTTTTGTGGCTGGGCAAGGGTTAATCTCATTGAGTGCCCTATATTCCCCCTGGTCTGGATCAAGCTCAGGCAGCGTCCATCTCAAGGAGACACTAACTTACCAGGGCAAGAGAGGGTGGGGACAGTGGTGGACCTGGGGCCTGGCTTCTGTGCCAGTTTGAGGGGAGAAGAGTGACGCACTAAGTGAATCCAAACTATCCCACCTGCAGTAGTTCCCAGCACTCTCTACCCCAACCGCACCCCAGCAAGATGGCTGCTTACCTCAGGACCAACAATCACAGAGGCCTGGGTCTCTCTCTAGTATCTGCAGGAAATGGTCCACCCACCCTCAGGCAAGAGAGTGGGATTGAGGCATGCTCGCGAGTCAGCCACTAGCCTTCTGCTTGACAATCCTTGGACCCTTAGGAAGTTCCTCCCAGGTTAAACTTAAATCCCTCCAACTGTAACCTCGGCTGAAGTGTGTCCCTCAGGGAAGGAAAGCAGAGACGAGCCAAGAGAACTTCCTGGACCTTCTGTGTCTTAGCATTCTGCATCTCACTCTGTTATTCCCTGTTCACACACCAGGACAGGGTCTTCATAAGGGCAGGGGTTGTGCTTTGCTTGTTCATCTTTGTTTCCACAGGGTTGGTACCAAGCCTCCAATGGCTGCAAACCACTTCCTTTATTATGGATAAACAGAGACATGGTCTGAGGGGCAACCTGGAGAGTCCTTGTGTAATCAGACATAGAAAGAAAGTAGACCCCTACCAGCCCAGAGATTTGGAGGCTCAAGTCACTCCAACATTTACTGGAATTACTATGGTACGGGGGCTCAGAAGTGAACCTCAAAGACACATTTTGATTACTGTCTGGTGATGTCCTGTCCTCCACCCTTTACTCTTTCCTTGAGAAGTGGACAGCTCCTCTATGAACTTCCTGTGACTCAGGAAGTGGTCCTCAGAAGCCGTATTCTCGATGACAACTCCTGGGCTAACCACTCCCAGCCCATGGCTCCAGGGCCTCGGACCGGGGCCAAGTCTGGAAGCCTCAAATGAGGCAACACAGGGAAGGCTGCTCCTGCTCCTCACCCTGACAGGTGAGCTGTCCAAGCCACAAGGGCTGACCCACTTGGCCTGAGTGCCAAGAGCAGAATTGGGGATTATCAGCAACCTGTGCCTGCCTTGGCCCTGAAGAATGGTTAGAAGACCCCACCCCTTCTATCTTCTTGGAGACCACTGCTCATCCCAAAGCTAGCTAACCCACTCAGATTCTCACCGATCAGCAGGAACCAGGGAGCCCACTGTGTCCAGAACCTCAAGTCTTGTGGCCAGTGCTCCCCAGCTTCCTCAGAGCCTAGAAACAAGGCCCCAGCACTAGAATGGAGGAGAGCGCCTTTCAGCACCTGGACAAGGCCCTTCAGAGTCTCCCCAAGAGGCTCGCTCTCTACTCCCCCATTCTTGAGCCAGTGCTGGAGTCCAAGGGACTCTGCCAGCATCAAGGAAACAGAGAAAGCATTCACCACAAGAGACGGGGGCACTAGGTGGGACTAAGATGCCTAGGAGTGTCACACAGTCTATTCCCGGATCCTTGACCTGAGACACCCCCCTTGCACTCAGGCCTTTCCCACCTCCGCACATTCACGCGGGAGGTGTCCCTGCTCGGCTGCCTGGGGTGGACTCTCACCACATGGAACACAGACCGACTCGGCAGCCCCTCCCCACCCCGGCGAAGGAGGGGCACAGCGTCCCCTACCCCAATCTGGGAGGGTCCGGAACACGTGTGGGCCGCCCACCCCGGCCAGAAGGGAGCCGGAGGGGGCCGCTCCCATCACCCTCTCTGGTCAACAAACACAAAAGCCGAGGCTGCGAACAAAGAAGCGCTGCAAACTCGCGGGCGAGGCGGGACAGCCCGCGCCGCACCCCCTCCCCACGCCGGGCGGGCGTGCCCTGCCACGGGGTCCCCGCGGCGCCCCGACGGCGCTCCTACCTGGCCGGCGCGGACCTCCTTCTCCAGCTCGCGGTGGCGGTTGTGCCACACAAGGTAGTGCAACGGGTACTTGCTCTCAGGCCCCTTCCTGGCGG